CTCCAGATTTTCGTACATCCTCTGGAAGTCATGCATCCTCACGGCCTCAGCAGCTTGCTCGTCTCGGAACCTCCCGTATTTCGCCTTGACCTTTGTCAGCTGGGCACCAGTTTCGTCATAGTTCTGCTTCAAAGAGGACAAATCGTCCTTTACCTTCAGAAGCTCGGCGTAGGTTTCGGCTTTCTCCTACCGAGATGCGGATGCGTCACTTAACGAGCGAAGATACTTTTGCTTAAGCGTAAGCAAAGGTCTGGCCAACCCGGCCATCTTCAGTCAACACAGTTCCAACTCTTCCACTTCCCTAACATGGGCCGTGGTGAGAGCGGATGAGTTGTAGAAGGACTCAGGAGCACAAATTGCATCCCGAAGAGTACTGTTCATTTTACCTTGCCACACCATATGCTTAACCATCTCGGGTGATGGAGGAGGAGGAGGAGCTTCCATAGTTTGATGGGCACCAGTGGAAACACGGCCATCAGCAGCATCTACCTTGTCTTTGGCACTGACCGTGGTAGCAGCACCTTTAACGTTTGACGTATCCTTGGCTTTACCAAGGTCACCCTTGGAAAGCTCAGAGGCCTTCCTTTTCTTTATCAACCCGGCAGAGGCAGCCTTGGATTAATTCAGCACCGACAACCAGCTAGGAGGATCATTTTTGGTTCTCCATGTTGGGTACTACAAAAAAGAAATAATAAGATACAGTTATTAAAGGAAGCATGACAAATATGCAAATATAGGGTTGGAAAAAACAATCCATACTTAGTTCAGCATCAAGATCCTCTTGGGACTTGAAAAGAAGGGATGCGACACTAGCATGCTTATGCGATAGCAGATATGTGCCAATGGCAATGACACTATCAATATCAGAAGGGCTCAACTGGGTATCTTTGAAACGGTAACTCGAGGGGGGAAGTTGATAATGGTCAAAAGACCAGTGCAAAGGAAATTTTCCCTCCGCGTCATCGGTATTAGAGGCGTCGACAAACCATACGCTCTTACCAGGATGGGCAGAAACTTTAAAGAACTTGTCTTTAAAGTTTTTAAAAGAATCAGTGTAAACTCGAAAAAATTTACGCTTAGGGATACCTCGAATGGTAACCCAACCTTTTCTTTCCGCCGATTCCCGACCGGTTCGAGGAGTAAGCACTTGAAAAAAGAAAAAAGAACACACATACAGAAGCCAAAATTGCAAGATATGAGCAGAAGCGTTCAAAAGCTTTAATAAAGCCCCAACCATTAGGGTGAAGTTGGGTGGGAGCTATCTGAAGGTGGTTTAGAAGATCAATTTAAAAGTCGGTTAGCGGAAAACGGACGCCGAGTTGCGTCACGACATCTCGTAAAAAGAAAAGGAAAGGGGGCTCTCCTGATCTCCCTCTAGAACAAACGGTTCGTCTTCTTGTGGGGGGACTATGTTGTAGTTCTCTAACTCCCCCACTGGGAGGGCTGCCACGTCATCCGGACCCATCTCGGAAATAGTATTCAAAACTTCATAAGTGACCCAGGGAAACTGGGATATTAAAGAGGTGGAGGGACGTGGGGGATACGACTCAGTAGAACTCGACTCTTCTACTACCTCTGGAGGAGGAGATGCCATAAAACCTAAAACAAGAAAAGACAGGAATCAGAATACCTGAATCACAAAGGCTATCAGAAGAATCACTAGATGATGATGACGACGGCAAATCGGAAATCATAATAGGATCATTTGCTCCACCCGACGCAGAAGTGGATTTCAAAATATCTATATGCCGGCAATTAGCCAAAGTAGACTCGGCCAAAGAGTCGCATCCTTGCTCGACAAGCTTCGAACTCAAGTAAACACAAGAGTAACACGGGACACTCCTCTGGATAGGGGAAGAATGTGGGAAAGCTTGGATGTTGGGAAGGGATCTCGAAGGAATCGTAGGCTGCCTAGAAGGCCCAGCACCGGGTTGGGGAAACGGGTGTGAAGCATGCCTGTTTATATTATGACGATCCCTAGCCCGGTTTGACGAGCCTCTACCCCGGGGATGCCCCAAATCTCTATTAGACATCCCGGACCTTCTCTGAGATCTACCACCACGGCAACCTTGAAGCATAGCTTCCCGTTCTTCTTCTTCGGTCCTAGGAATCCCCCAAAGTCAGAAACGAGCACCGGGAGGAATCTTTTTGAAACAATCAGAATCCTCCTCCTTCTTCCCTTTACAACACAAAGCTGAAGAAGGAGGGTTTGTCCCCCTCATTTGGTTAAAACACTAAAAAATGCTAAGATTTCAAATAGTACAGGGGGAGACAAGGAGGATAAACACCAGAATGACAGGAAGAAACACACAAGCTCTGGGAAGCGAAAACTATATATGCAATGAGAAGACAAAAGAAAACCAGCAAAATGACATATACAGAGCAAACAATTCAAAATTGAAAAATCAGGCTCGGGGACGAGAAACAAAATGCAAACATTTCAATGCAAAAGCAACAAAAACGGAAGATGAGTGAAATACCTGTCAAAAACGTTGAGGTACCAAGAAGATGATGAAGTGAGTTTGAGATGCTGAGACTCAAAGAAATGAGGTTGATGTGCAATGCTCAAAAGGTAAACAAAAGCACGTAACGTGTGATGGAGGCTTATATAGGCATGACTACTGATCATTAGGGTTGCGAATGGCAAAGGTCAGGGCTATAAAGGTCTTTGCACTTCTACATAATAACTGCAACAACCATGGGAGGTAATCGCAATCATCACGGGCGGTAACCACAGTATGCTGAAATGGCAAGGGTCAGGGTCCATAGTGCCATTTCACTCAAAAAGCAATGATTAGCCAACTGAAACAATGTTGCAATAAATGCACACGAAATGCGAAAACGGCACAGAACGCCTGCGGCACGCTAAAGCACGCGAGCTATTGCACGTGGCAGAACGCAATGAGTACTACTCATAAAATAATAGATAAGGTAGGATGTACAACCGGGTTATGCGCCTGATGCTTGGGGGCAACTCGCCAATTGAATCACAATTATTCAAGCACATCCATAACCCGGTTGCCTATGTAGAATATCTCACCAGGTTCATGCAAAACCCGTCATTCAAGAAACCAAAGGCATAAATAACTATTCCGGTCAAGGTATGATGCTTGGGGGCAACCCGTTAGTTGGATCCCAACAACTCAAGCACATCCTTGTCGAAATATAGAACAAGGAGAAATTGTCCTTGAGGTAAGCCACAAACTCGGAGTAAGCATAAATGCCGACGTTTGAGGGGCAACTCGCCAGTTGGACCCCAACGGCCCAAGCCTACCCCTAATCCAGAAAAAGGAGATACAAGAAACATCTCACCGGGTTGATGCTTAGCCCGTGGACATAAGGGGCAAGAGATACCCCGCATGGAAAAATTCCAGAATATAAGGAACATGCAAAAGTTCGAAAGTTTGTAAGAACACAAACACATTCAGGGACAAAAACCTGAAGAGATGTACGCAAAGTTCACCCCGACTACCTGGATGCCCAGGTAGCCGGGCTGAGGGGCAACTGTTATGGACCCATATAAGGGCCCATCAAGTGATAAGCCCAACAAGGGGCAATCCAAGATATGAATCGATGATAATCATGGATAGATATCCATCAAGGATACTAATCCTAATACGACAGCATAGCAAGCAGGCCTGGGCCCTTACCAGAGGCACCAAAGGCCCATCCACACTACCCACAGGTAACCTCTATAAATACAAGGTAAACCTTAAAGGTATGTTACGCTCTCTCTTATTGTTATGTTGTCACTGTGCGCACACACACACACACCATTGGCTAACGCCGTTATAGTATTCTGTGCACAGTGATCTTTTTGACTGAAGTGTATCTCCTTCATGGATACCTTGAAGAGGGCACTAGGTCCAAGAGAAACATACCAGCCTATTGGGCTGGACATCTCTATCTCAAGGACAGAACACTAGTTTATTTCAGTTTGAATATTTCAAACCAATATTGGAGGTAGCTCTCCTAATATTATTTTTTTATTCTTAAAATTTGAACTCAAGACCAAGAATAAACTTCTTGTCATTTGTAAACATGATTATTGGTGTAAATGAAAATTTTAGAGTAAAGAAAATGTTTGCTCAAATCCAACACTGGCCAGACTAGATTTTGGGGTTAATGAATATTTACAAGAGATTACATACCCTTTAGGGGTGTGCATTAGTCAAACTGAACCGAATAGGTTTAAACGATTCGGTTCGAAACTGTTTCGGTTCAGTTTGAAAGCGGTAGGGTCGAACCTATTTTGAAAAGAAAAAAAATTTAGGAAATAAAGTAATAAACGGTTCGGTTCGGTTCAAAACGATACAATTCGAAAATAATTCGGTTCAGTCAGTTCTTGAATTAGTTTCTAAAAATCAATTTAGTTCCTGAACTTATTGTTTAAAAAACAATTCGATTCATAAGTTAATTTTTAAAAATCAATCATTTTAAGTGCAATTTAATTTTTTTGATTCTTTTGTACAGATACACCAAACATGCCGTTGTAGTCATTGAATTGGAAATTGGAATCTAATTCATTCACCTTTCTCCTACATTGTTCTTTTTTATTCTGTACTTCCGTATTCCATTAAGCTTCGAGTTATATCGTGGGTTGGCCCAGCGGTATATTAGATCCATGAGATGGACCTAGCCTTATATGTAAGGAATGAGAACTGAGTATTTATATTAAAACATTATGTATGGTAATCAACGGTAATTGAATATGATTAAATATTTAAGAACAAGATACAGAAGATAACAAAGATTTTTTTATTAAATAATTACGTCAAATATCTAAAATATTTCTATATTTATATTAGGAAAAACATTTTCTCATGTTGCATGAGAATTGAATTCTTATATTGTGACATTTCGATTCACGTGCAATTTTTTTTTTTATTAAATGTGAAGTTCACTACTAGTTGAGTCACGACATGAATCCCTTTATATTATGAGTTTTAAATTTTTGTTATAAAAGTTAAAACTCTTGGAAACGCTGAAGACGGGGTCCTTCAAAACTGTGAAGAACACTTTCCACTTCTTACATCGGCAAAGTAAAGCAAAAAGGAGAATCTGAATGGTTTTCGCAATCAATTTCTCTCAAAACCTCCTTTTCCGGAGGCCATCATCACATGGGCATGGCACTTTAGAGGTCAAGTGTTGCTCGCAGCCACAGAGCAAAGTAACCACATCCCATATTCAAACAAAGAAACGCTGCTTGAGATGCAACACCCTTTACTCAGATCAAGATAATTCCTCTGTTTCTTGCTCTTTCCACGGCCATACCAATGGTATGTATGTGTTTGTACATTTACCTATTTCTCTGGCCACACAATATATATACATGATAATATGCTAATAAAATATGGGGTTGGGTAAGTAACGAATTATTACAATATGCTTTAAATTAAATTAAGTATTAATATATCCTTAATTACTTATTTTCTATACAATGTTACTTTAGAATATTCTTATCCTAATAATAAAGGACTCTGTTCTGTTTGAATACTTCATCAAACACATCTTCACTTATCAATTTATAATTGCCTATTTCTTGACTTCAGAGTTTCCTATCTATCTTTAAACAAATTTATAGACCATCCAAACAAAACAAAATCTTTATTATCTGGAATCCTCTTTGTCTTGGAATTCCATATAAAAAATGCAGTCTTCAAACCAAAAAAAAAACCCAAAAATGGATTGTTGTCAAAACCTGGACCAGACCGACCGGTCCAACAGGTGAACCAGGTCCAACTGACACCCGTTTTCAAATGCTGTAACTTTAAGATGAGGGCATGTAACTTCAACAACTACACTAGAGTAATATTTTTGTCGTAATACACCTATTATTATATTTATTATATATTAATATATAAATTAAGTTCAACCAATAACTCATTAGTTGAACTAGTAACCATTAATTTAGTACCTTCATTGAGTCCATCACTAGTCCAAATTTTATAACATTGCCGAAGAATAACAATGAGACTTGTATCAAGATTTTGCCAATTTCATATCATCTGTCATGCTTTTACTATTGGGTTATAGAAGGTTTTTAATAATTGTATTTTTGGTTTCTTTGGTGAGCTATAACATGATAAATTTGTGAAGCATAACTCCTAGTCCTACCTAAGATTAGTGAACATTTGCAATATAATTCAAATGCTTTGCAATGTTGTAGGAGAGAAAGGTCTATTTTCATTTGCTCCACCACACCAAGGAATTGATGGGGATTGGACTGATAAATCTGGAGTAATTATCTACAAATGGAATGAGAAGAATAACAGGCCAAATACTGGCCGCGCCAATTGGAAGAAAAGATGGAGCTGCTGTGCTGAGTATGATGAAAATGCCCCACCCTGTAGACAGGGCTGGCATGTTTCCTATGATGATGGTTTCACTTTGTATTAGCTACAATTTCTGTTCTAGAGGATACATTTTTATTTTTTATTTTTTTTCTTTTGATACTTTTAGCTATGTTTTGCTTAGAAATATGGTTAAAATCAATTAGATGTGCAGGTCAAGATACAAAGTTATGAATTTGATTTCTATGATAACCAATTATGAGTTTGACTTCATAAATAATAAACCTGGTGCACGACACTTCTATTTCGCATATTCGAATTTGTGACCTTTCAGCCACGAAGGAATAATCTTATCACAGTTCCAACACTTACTCGAGGTTGACTTCATGAGTAATAAAATTCCCTTTGGTTTTTCTTTGTTCTGTTGCTGCTATATTGATGGGAGATTAGAAGCTTTCAAGGTTAAACTGGGTGGTCATGTCATGTCCAATTACTATGAAAATTATGTTATGCAAATGAAACCAAGATTCACCTAAAGAAACACAGCTTTAAGAAGATTTGGAGCATTTTGTTTATACTTAACCCAAAGGTCTTATCAATCCTTTAATTAATTAACCTTGAATACAGTAAGGTAAAGGGATTTAGCTGCTACCAAGCAACAACGCATATTGTGTAAAGATGTAACTTCGGGTTAACAGGATCACGGAACTGAAACTCTCATAGAGGCCATTTAACCAGAACAATATTTTTTTGTTTCACCCATTCAGCTATCTCTTCATATCAACCTACTAGAAATTCATAAATCAGGTCATTCTTGTTTACAAATAAGATATTGAATGTTCCATGAACACATATCCAAAAGCTTTTGAAAACTCCCCACTGCTCTACTACTACTTAGAAAAGACAAGATTGTAGATTTCCAACAACCAAGAACCAAAGGAGCACATATTATTATTAGATTTAATACAAACAAAAGAAGATTAAGAATTGCAAATTTGCAATAGCTAGTTTCTATTGTCAATATTAGTCCAATACCAAAAACATTTACTCCCAATTGCTAGCTTGAACAACAATTTCATACATAGATAACTATTGGTTCATTATATGGATAACCAATAACCATCCTATGACATAAAAATGGTACACAGCTACCTCACAGGTAACCCTTTTTTTTGCAGCATTGAATTGCATCATCAATAATTTCCTCAAGTCCATACTTGAACACAAATCCAGCATCTATGAGCTTCTTTGACGATAAATCTGGTAGCTTTATACCTTCAATTTTCTTGAACGAGCTACAAGAAAAAATAATCAAATATATATTGCAATGAAATCAAAGAAGAATCATTTAGCAAAAATCAAAGACTTTCAAGTGTGTAGACAACAAGAACAAGTACAATAGAAACTCACTCTAATGTTGGTAATTGAAATTCTGAATACTTGGCAGAAAAAAGTTCAGATAATCTTTCAACAGTTGCCAAACATGATGAACAATTATACCTCCCTTTTGGATTAGTATGTTCAAGAAGAAATATATGCGCTCTAGCCAAATCATCCACATGCACCACAGGTGTCTGAAGGAGGAAACCAAAACCTTTGTTGCCTACATAAAATTTCCTTATATTAAAAAATCTTAAAACTCAATCAAATTACTATCTGAACTGAACCAAGGACACAAAACAGTTATCATGTATGATCCATCCTTTCTTAATTGTATTTGATATATGATTATTACACATTTTATCAAAGTGACATGACTCATGACCTTCAAACTCAATGTACATTATTAAATGGTAGAAAACATAGAAGAAGGAAATTCAATCACATACCAAATATCAAAGACAATGAATCACGAACTGAGCCAGGAAGCTTAGGACAAATGAAGGGTCCAGAAACAAACGGTGGAATTATTGTTACAACATCCAACCCATTCTGTTCTCCAAATTCAAGTACTGCCTTTTCTGTCAATGTCTTGGAAACTGCGTACGACCAACCAAACAGCTTTGAAGCTCTAAGATAATCTACGTCACTCCAAAAGCTTTCATCCATTATTTCTTCTTGTTTGCCAATTATAGTCGTCACGGCAGAGGCACTAGAAGTGTAAACAACTCGCTTCACAGTCTTGGAATTGAGACAAGCCTTCAAAATTCCTAGTGCACCATCAATGGATCTTTTGGTCACTACTTCCTCAGGTTCTCTTAATTCAAAGTCAACTGGGGTAGCAACGTGGAAAACTCCAATGCACCCTTCAATGGCTGCACCAAAACTTTCTGGATTGCTGAGATCAGCGCTGAGAATTTGTAGCCTTTGGGATCCTCCAGGTAAGTTGGTAAGAAAGCTAACATCTTTCTTGTGTTCTACGCTAATTTTAAAAAATAAACATTATTACTTTGGGACTTAGTGAATCAAGTTGCAAACAAATTCTTGCTTCCTCTAGTCATAACATTTTAACTAAAACAATGTTATTAAATTCATACCGGTCATTGACCCAATCAAGATACTAGATTAATGAATCATTCGTCTAACTAGTAAATCATTCATTGAACCGGATTTATTTAATATTATATAATAGCAAAAGGTTATATTTACAAAAAAAAATTTGTTTATAAACTACACTAAGTACGATTACTTTTATGTTTCTTTTTTTTTTTTTGACCTTTTTGTATCTTTCATTTGGGTTCATTTACCACCGACCCCAATTAATTTGGGATAAAGGTGTTGTTGTTGTTGATGTTGATGTTGAAACTACACTAAGTATGATTGATCATACTTCAATCAAGAGTGTATGACCGGTCATACTTAGTTTAATTTGTAAAAAATATTTGTAAACAGATCCTTCCCCTATATAATAATGGGAAAAATTATATTTACTATCTTTTTTTCTTATTACCTTTTACTACGAAATCTTAACCGTTGATTTTCGATAATCTAATTGTTATAATTTATTAGATTACACCTATTAATTAATTATTAATTCTCAATAAATTATAATTGTTAAATTGACAGAAATCAATTATTAAGATTTGATAAAAAAAAAAAAAATAGTATAACCTCCCTCCTATAGTAATAGGGGTTTAAACTTAACTTCTCATTTAACAGAAGATCAAATTTTTTGCAGCAGACTCATGAGAAGCTGTGCTTTTTGTTTTTTTTTTTGTTTTTAATTAAATAATGAACCTTATTTCAAGATGTGTGTCAGCAGCAAGAGATCTCATGTTTTGCAATCTTATAAAAAGTGATTTTCCCATAATAATAAGTGTATTATGACACAGTTACTTTGGCATAGAAATTAAGCTGGTTGGACCCGGTTCATAACCGTTTCACCGATTTACTATAAGTTAGATTGCAAACTCCGATTTTGTAACCAAATCGAATTGTTTGGTGGTTCGATTTGTAATTGGATCGGCCGATCCAATCCGGATTTAACAATTACGGTACAAAGAGAATTTTTTTCATTTTTTTATTTTTTAGGGTAATATCCAAGAGGAACATGTTAAAAATATGTAACAAACATTATTATAACACACACAGCATACAAAACAATGCACCAAGGCTTTCAGCACACAAAATTGTATATTTGTATGGTCAAATTAAATGCACAGAACAACTAAAATTATTTAATAGATGGGTTGCTTCAACTACCTGGGTCGGGCCTCACAGTGGTATTAACAGAGTAACCATCTTCAAGAAGCCTCTTGATTATCCATGAACCAATAAAACCTGTACCTCCTGTAACACACACTTTCCCTTTGCTTTCTTCCATTTTCTCACGCTCTCTCTCTTGCTCTGATAACTAGTATGCACTTACTCGATGAACCTGGAAAGGAAAAGTACAAAGTGGTTCGTGTGGACTACACTCTCTTCACCACGCGTGTTCCTTATAGTTAAAGGAAGACCACTTTCCAAATTGTATTCTTCTTTACTCTCTCTTTTTCTTCCCTTTATTTTTTTATATTTTTTTAGCCACATACAGACAATAATCTTAATATTTATTGTTTATGGATAATTCCAGTTAATATAATTTTCATAATTTTTTTCTCTCTATTTATATATAGTCGTTCAGACTTTAGAGATTTTAGAAATAGGAAAAAATGTTTATGTCTTTTTTATAAAAAAAATTTCTCCGTCACACTCGTATAAAAAAGTAAATGAGTTTCATATAAAAAGGAAAGAAAGAAAATATTAGTCGACCATCACTTTTATACGAGTGTGTCAGAAAAAAAAAATTATGTAGTAAAAGCAGAAACTTTAAACTCTTAAAAATATTATTAAACTTAACCTAGTCATTAACCCATTTGGGTTACTGGATTACTGGTTTGATTGGTGAGTCATGGATTGAACCAGTTGACTCAGATAAATATATGTAAATTTATATTTTATTTTTATAAATCTACAAACATACTCAAATACGTGTAAAAAGTTATATCAGTTCCAAATATTTTAGTATGAAAAAAAATAAATCACACATCATTCTCTAACAAACAAACATATAATATTTGTTATGTCCTTGAAACAAACAAATAAAGATAGGTTTGACCATTTGGGAGAAAGGGTTTGGCCTTTCCGGAGAGCATTGCACGAAAGTTTTCAAGAAATTCTGATGTTCTCTTAAAATGCACATGCATGACCCGGCGATTTTTTTTAACCTGTCGAGTCACCGGTTTTGATAAAAAAACGATCGAGTCAAACTAGGTTTTACCTTATATGACTGGTCTATTGCTTGACACGAACCGGCTAAATGACTAGTTCGCTAAATTTCAGTCGGGAATTTATAGAAAATTAAAAATAGGTTATTTAAGCTACATCATGACAAGATAACAACAACCAATGCAAGAAATCCATTTATTGTTGAGATTTTTTTTCTTATTGAGCTCAGGTAATTTTTGGATTAATGTTTATTGACTCAACTAATAGGTTATTGGTTTAATCAGGTAGATTATATTTATATGATATTATATAATAAATATAAAATATGTATTGGGCAAAGCGTTGAGAATCTTGAGATCAGCTTTCAATAAATATTTATTAATTTATTTAGCATATTCTTTTAGATTTAATTAAATGTTTATTAATTTATTTATTTACCATAAGATTCTTATGTAATTTATTTATTTCATGTAAATAATATTCTAATTTAATTATATGTTCTCACTTGAGTAGTTTTTTTTTATTTTGGTGAAACAATTGAGTAGTCTACTACTACATAAGAATTTATTAGAAAATACCATAAAATAAGAAAAGAAAATTTCGAATTAAGTTTTATAAAGTTTAAAAATTAATTTGATGTACAAATAATATTTTTATTTGTAAAAGCATAAAGTGAAAATTGATTTGATATTAAAATGAAATCTTTTATTGAGTGAAGTCAAATAATGAGTTGTACCTCAAAGTGAGTTTCTCATATGAAACTTCCAAGAGCCGTACCTCATAAGATAAAATCCTGAAAGGAAGTCGTCCATACATATGTTTAAATGGCCAAATAACTAAACAAACAATTTAGCATTCAATTGTATGTTAGTCCATACACTAACTATACAATCTAGCCCCCTATGTTTGTGCATTGGTTCGTACACCTATACACAATAATTCTATATGAATGTAACTGTATCATATAACTAACACACCAACAATCATCCAATACATAACCATAACTCAAAAGGAGCATGGTGGAACAATAAAAGGGATAAATCCCCAAGATCCAAGAGTTTATCTCTTGAAGTCCTCATTTCCAAGCTTTCTTTAAGCTCAAGAAATCTAACCAAAAATCTTCCACACTAGTACCACTTATCCCAAAGATATAAGTGTGATCAATAATACATCAAACATCGCATATCAAGCTAATAACTATAATTTCACCAAGAAGTCACATTTAGTAACTTACCCTATTCTCGGAATACTTAAGAATCCAAATCTTGGTCAATGAAATAATCCAATGGTTGGCCTTCCACCAAGATGTCATTTTGTTCAACACTTCATCATTAAATAAACATAAACAACCATCAAAATCCATCTCAAACTCATGAACTACCAAAACTCATATTTTCTCAAAATACAAGTTATCCATTGTTCATGCAAACTTAATTAAAATTGTAGGTTTTTACCTCAAATTTCCTAGTAAATGTAGAAGGCAGGCTTTTGCAAGCTTCAAAGAGTAATAACTCTTTTCCTACACCAACTTCCAAATCTTTCCCAAAACTTTGAAATGGAATTTCTTCCTCCACAAGGCCTGTAAGTGGAAAAAGATAGGTGGATGCTACTTTATATCAAGAGGTGAACAACTTTCATGAAGAAACTCATTTCTATGGCTAACTCTCAAATGGGTTTTTCAAGCTTTAGAAATGGTGGAGGTCGGTCAAGAGCAAGAAGATGAAGTCAATGGAATGAATATTTGTGACCAAATAATAATGCTTAAGTGTCTTAAACATAATTTGACTAAAGCCAAATATATCAACTTGGCTATTTACTCCTTTGCCCTTCTTTATATTTCTCTTCTAACTTCTAACTTAACATCTCTAACATGTGTTTTAAAATCATGAAAATTCATGAAATAGTTTATCACTAATTCATTTCTAAGTTTTAGGTAACTTTTGTTTAATTGTATTTTTACCTCAAAACTTTCACTATTTTCATTTTTGTCCCGAAAAGTGACTTGAATTACATAATTAGATTTTCCATCTAATCAACCTCTTTTAATCCTTAAATAATCTTCAATTATTCAATTTAATTATTTGAGTTATTATAGTATATAGGGTAGAATATCTACTTGATGCATATTATTCTTTTTTATGAAGGTGAAAACCCCTATTTTATATGGAGACTATCATGAGTCCCGATAAATGTAAGATTTTTCTTTTAATTGTTGGGCCAAACGTTTAGGGCGTTCAAACTGGATATTACTATCCAAAACAATTTGATTGAAAAAAAAATCTTCCTACTACTTAAAAGAATTTGTTAATGAGATTTTGATTTTTTTTGTTAAATAATCAATTCTATTTTTTTAGTGGGGTAAAATTAATTTAATATATTTTTTGGTTACAAAATCAATTCTATTTTTCCATAACCGAAGTGCATCACATTATTAATAACCCCAAATATGAGAATACTGTAATGTTTTAAAAAAATAATAATAAATAATAAATAAAATATCTTAGATATTTAGATAAAATATCTTAGGTATTTAGATAAAATATCTTACATATTTATATAAGTAATGATTAGATTCCTTGGATTTTTATAAATGTAATGATTAAGATTCCTTAGATTTTTATAAAAGTAATGATTAGATTCCTTAGATTTTTGTAAAAAGTAATGATTACATTCTATCCTTTTTTTTTTGGAGTTACCCAACCATAATTATCTCTTTGAGACGAGTTGGCTCCTTCCGATATTCCCACGAGCTTCGACTCTTTGAGCCGGCTATGGGAATAATCCGGAGTGCGGGGAACAGTGATGGCTAAAGGTTCAGCCCCCTATCCTTTATTTTTAAAGTTGGATTTTAGATATTTTATAAAGCTGTGTTGGTTCTGTTGTTATCTATGTTATGTTTAAAGTTGGTATTTTAAAGTTATTTCTTTAAAAGTTGTGAATATGTCGTTACTCTGCCAAAGTTATTTTATGAATTCTTTCTACTTTTTTACTTTGTTTTCTATATTTGACTTTGTGAATTTGATGAAATTATTAATATTGATTATTAGAATTAGGGGTGAAACTGGGCCGGGCCGGCCCACAGGGGCTATGACTCGGCCTATGTCAGGCCAGACCTGACCTAGTATATTTCATAAAATAGGCCGAACTTGGGCCTTGAAAAAGCTTGTTTAATAAAAAGGCCGTAGGCCCACTTTCACAAGGCCTGGCCTATAAGCCTACAGGTCGGCCTATATTGCACTATTTATTTTAAATAAAATAAAAAAAGTAAGAATGCCTCGAAGAAAAAACAAAAGATCTAAATTTAATCAATTGTAATTATTTATAACTTAATTATATTCGATTATATCTTAATAGAAATCTAACTTTATTTCTTATATAGGAGGAACTAATATCTCATCATGTTAAATTATGTATATAAATATATTAAAAGGTTTTTGGGAGAGGTTATACTTACTACAAGCATCATGATGTGTTTGTTGAATTCATGTAATTATTTTAATTTACATAGTATGGATTTGTTTGTTTGGATATGATGAAATATGTTATTTAATTTGACATTTTGCTTTTGAAAGCGACTTAAATGTACATTGTATGAGTTTTGTTGTGATTCATGATTCTGTTTGGACGTTGAAATTATGATTTTTAGTTTAGCAACATAATTTGAGTATTTTGTAAATTTGATTCATGGTTCTGTTTGGAAGTTAAAAATTAACAGGCTAATGGGTTGGGCCAGGCCATTTATTTTTTTATAAACGGGCCAAGTCGGTTTGATCTAATCCCCTTCGGTTTGATCATATAATCATCCATTCGGTTTGGATTTTTTTTCAAATCTGATCCAATCCAATTTTTTCGGTTTACATTGGATCGATTTTCGGTTTTTTGAAAATCCTAAAATTTATTTCATAATTATTATGCAAATAACATCTTTGGTTTATATTGGCTTTGTAAATTATTATTTTTTAAATACAAAAGCATAAGTAAACTATAATATAAACTTTTTTTTTGGGCAATGAGATATGAAGCTCTACAAAGATAAAATTTTGTTGATGAGATGTGACTAGATTTTTTCTTGGGTTTAGTTGATACCAAATGGGTCTTGGGTTTAGAAATTTTTTGGGCTATGATTGGGAAAAAGACCCAAGTAGGTAGAGGAGAATTAATATATTGGATCGGTTTTCATCAAGCCATCCAAAAACTGATCCAATCCAATTAAAATTTGCGGTTTTTTTTCGGTTTTCAGTTTTCGGTTTATTCGGTTATCGGTTTTTTGGTTCAGTCACCGCGGTTTGAATCGGTTTGGTTCGGTTGATGAACACCTATATAAAACTAAAAGATTCCTTTG